AACAGCTGCGGGGCGGACAGGATGAACAGGCCCGCCGACAAGAGGAGCAGGTCCGCCGACAGGAGGAACAGGCCCGTCGGTCGGAAGAGCAGATGCTCCTCATTAAGGAACTTCATGCTACCTTTGGGAAAGAGATAAAGGAGGTGAAGGATAGGGTTGCTCAACATGACAACCGCCTGTCGGAAGCTGAAACCCAAATCAAGGAAGCTAGAACCCAAATCGACCAAGTGAACAATCGGGTTGATTACGTGGTGGCTGACGTGAAGAAAACGCTGGACGACCTCAAACTGGGTGATGGAACTACAGCTCCCGTAGTAGCTACTACACCTTCGCTACGTGGGTTCAAGGTGCCACCATTCGACGGGACTTCTTCCTGGTCAGCCTACAAAATCCAGTTCGAGGCTGTTATGAAGGCGAACGGCTGGAATAAAAGTCAGGCCACGACTGCTCTCACACTAGACCTGCGCGACCAGGCCTTAACAGTTCTGGAAGCTCTCGGTGAGGAAGTGACTTATGAGCAACTCCTTGAGGCATTGGAGGCGAGATATGGCGACGCTCACCTGGAACACGTCTTTCGTGCGCAGCTTAAAGATCGTGTGCAGCGAATCAACGAAAACCTGCAGCAGTGGGCTCTAGAAGTGGAGAAGCTGGTGCGAAAAGCATACCGGTCTGTACCTGCGCTCATTGAAGGGAACCTGGTGCAGATATTCATCGACGGCATCCGCGACCTGGAAGTCAGAGCTGCTGTGAGGCTCGGGCACCACGAGACGCTTAAGGACGCCTTGGCCCATGCACTGGAAGTGGAAGCCGTGCGGCAGGATCATCGTTCCCATCGCGTCAGGGAGGTTGCAGCAGCTACAGTCCGTAACCGCAGCAAAGGATACAGCCCTAGGTGCTATGGCTGTGGGGAAAAGGGCCATCTTCGATCCAGCTGCCCTAAACTAACCGTGGAAAGGAGAGTTGATCGATCTCGAGAGGGTAGTACAGCTAACGGCACTGCCTGGCGGCGACAGGATCATCGTTCACCTCACGATAGGGAGGTTACAGCAGTTACGGTTCACGACCACAATAAAAGATACAGCCCTAGGTGGTATGGCTGTGGGGAAAGGGGCCATCTTCGGTCCAGCTGCCCTAAGCACACCCTAGGAAGGGAAGGTGAACGGTCTCAGAAAGGAAGTGCGGCTAACAGCACCGCCCAGCAGCAGCAGGAATACGACTTTACTATCAGACACTGCAGCGGGGAAATCTCCCGGCAACGCAGATGCATTGACAAGAAGACCTTGTCCTGAAGATTGCAACCATTGTAGTAGGCAAGAGAGTAAGGAAGTGGTATCCGTGAGGATGCTCAGGACAGACCACCTCAGCAACGGGTGGAAGGACAGCCTACGACGTGCACAGCAGGAAGATCCAGACATCAAGCCGATTCTGGGATGGATGAAGGCCCGTGCTACCAAGCCTAAGTGGAGGGACGTCTCAGCGATGAGTTCAACCACGAAAAGCTATTGGGCCCAATGGGGCAGCTTGCTGATTCAGGATGGAGTCCTGTGCCGTAAATGGGACAATGGTCGAGGAGACAGCTGTCGTCTGCAAATGGTCGTCCCTAAAGCTAAAGTGCCGAATGTTCTACAACTGTGCCATAATGGTCGTTCAAGAGTCCATCTGGGAGTTAAACGAACTCTACTGCAGGTCCGAGAACAGTTTTACTGGGTCCATTATCGTGACGATGTCGAGGATTGGTGTCGTACATGTACAAGTTGTGCGGCTGTGAGGGGACCTCAGACATGGAGTGGAGGAGCATCGAAATTGTACAATGTTGGTGCACCACGGGATAGGACATCCCTTGACATTGCGGAGCCATTACAGAAAGGCGCAAGAGGGACTCCTAAGATCGTCCATGTGGATCGCCTAGCGCGTTATTATGGGACCAATAATGCTCGGGAAGAGCATGTCTTAGGAGGGGGCAGTGTTACGCGCTAAAATCGGCACACTAGCGCCATCTAGTGTCAGGAACGAGAGCGAGGGGAGCGTTGCAGTAAATGACATCACAAATCTTTCGACAGACAGCGCCACCCGAAGAACTAAGTTTCTGGAAAATCTACACTCGAATACTCGTTGCCTGGCGCGCATTTACTTGAATGTTCGGGACGCTTCTTTGCTAATTATATAAATAGGCGCTGCAAGATGCGATCGGGGCAGTGTTGATTTGGCGAGACAAGCGAAGCTTCGGAGCGGAATAAAGTGAATTAGTGTGTCTAATTATTAGTGTTTTAAGTTTTACTTTGTGTAAAGTAAATTAAAGTGTTAATTTAGGTAATTTTATCGGCAATTTTCATTGTCACGAACCTCAAGCTCGTAACAATTCATTAAAGCAATGCTCCAGCAACGTTTGAAAGGCTGATGGAACTTGTACTTACCGGGCTAATTGGCGACGCCTGTCTGGTCTACTTGGATGACATCATCAAAAAGTTGACTTGCCGTTTGAATAGTGAACATTTCTTCGGACTCAACTTGAGGTTGGCACTCTTAATCTTCATGAGCACGCGTTCCAAGTTTTGAAGGTGTTCCTCAAACGTACGGCCCACGATGATATTATGCAGGTAGATGACGTTGCCTAACTTCAACTCCATCTCCTTCTCTCCACGGACGGGTATACGCTGACCGGTGGCTGTTACCAAATTAATGCGTTCTCGGTTGTATGCGGAGTCCCCAAGGAACTGACTTATAAGTTGGGAACTAACAACCGTACGAGAGGCTCCAGTGTCTATGGTCAGCTTACACGGCATTCCGTTGATCTCGCCCTTTATGATTAGGCTGTTCCCATCATGGGTTTGTGAAATCGAGATCCTTGGGGCTCTTTTAACATCAGCCAGCACCCGCCCCGCAGTTCTGGCTTTTACTCGTTATATATTGGCACTGACGTAACCAATTCACTTCCTTACAAGTACCAACCAGTGTGCCTTTTTCTATAATCTGTTCCCGGTCGCAAAGGTTCAGCACACGTACTCCTGAGATGTCAGTGGTCCTGACCAAGGTTCGAGCTACTTTCCATGGAAGGTCATTGTTTACCCTTTCCACAAGTACACAACGGTGAGCTTGCCCAGCGTTTCGAGGAAGACTAACCGGAACAATCGTTTCCGATCTCGGCGGAAGAACAATCTTCTTGATGCTGTACACGTTCCCTGGTAATGCACCTTCCATAAAAAGTTCCTCCTGTCCACATTTCAAAACACCTTGCTTAACGTCGATCTCACAACAATTATTCCTCATAAAGTCTAGGCCTAGGATGCAGTCGTCCATTATATCGTATTTCAAATTATACTTAAAACTTCGGGTCGGTTGTTAGCCCATCCCCTCAGTTGGAAAGAAGCACGTTTATGTAATTCATACATATCGTTTACTATCCTTTCGGCCGTCGTCACGTCGGGAAATGCCTGTAGATAGTCATCCATATAAAAATTGCTTTCCGTAGCGGAAGCTGCTTCTGGATAGATATGTGCGTTGTCCTGCGCATTCCTATTCTTTACATATATAGCGATGCATGGTGATGATGCCGCTCCAAATATGAGTGACGTCATTCTATACTCTTCCGCTGGCGAGTAACGATTGTGCAGCCATAAGAATCGAAGGCTATCACTGTCTTCTTCCCGGATTTTCACTTGCAGGAACATCTTCAAAACTTGGAACGCGTGCTCATGAAGATTAAGAGTGCCAACCTCAAGTTGAGTCCGAAGAAATGTTCATGATGAAGAAAGAAAGATTCACGAGTGGTTGTCTCGTATCGGTAAGAGAAGTTAAGAACGGCAGCCTACTAGATGGAGAGACGACGTGGTAAGACATGTGGGAATTCAATGGATGCTGGTTGCTCAGGAACGTGTTACGTGGTACTTCTTTACGGAGGCTTGTTATCAGTGGGGAATGGTAGTGATGATGAAATCAATTTAGTAAATAATTTTGCCAAATTACTTAGTCACCAAATTTTTTACTTTACTCTTTGTGTATAAAAGTTCAGAGATAAAGTAATTTAGTGAAAAGTATGGGGGAGCTTCATTGTATTTTGCTGAAATAACAGTACCGTATGCTCTCACCTGCTATTTTTAAAAACCCGTCTGTTTCATAAATTATGTTTCAGTTCGGTCCGGCATGGCGTAGCTATAAATGTCATCGGGCGAGGTAAACGGGCCTGCCGGGAGTGTATCGCTGTCGATTCTCACCTGGCACAAGTCACGAGCGATGAGCTCTAAAAAGACAAGAGGATTTTGGCCTCCAATAGACGACTCTGTACTCGACTCTCGTATATGTCGGACCTGATTTATAAAATAGTTGTATAGTTTTATGGAAACCACTTACTACCAAGTAGGATTACAGTCAGGCTCCGACATAATTTAAAAAAAAAATACGTGTGGTACTCGGGGACTGCCGCGGTAAAGCTATTGCATAGCATTTTTATCAACTTATGCAATTATAATTATTTATTTATTTTATTAATGTAGTATTTTTTTCTTTGTTTTTTCTTTGCTATTAATTCAAGTTACACTTTTTGAGCGTGGTAACCGATAAGAAAACAAATTGTTTTCTTTTTGTTGAATAAATGAGAAGTTAATATTGTTTAAAATATTTTTATTATCTTACAATACACGTAGGTTATTCAGAAATTTTTATCATTGAAACTATAGGTTTATGGTAATTAACGAGTTCTTCCGACAAACGATAATTTTCTATAAAGTCTGTGTTTATTAAATACTCTAAATTCACGGAAGTTGCTAGCATGACGACGACTCATATAAATCCAAAGAATATGCTTCTTGCAATAAACTATAATATTATTGTTTGAAATATTTTTATTATCTTACAATACATGCAACTAGTCTACACGCTTTCGTCTAATCGCACGCACACAAACACCGTGCCGAAGCCTGCCGAACTGAAACGAAGTTAGACGATGTTAGGTTTTGGGGTGTTAGGTTTTTTCCTTACGGAATTTCTTGATTTGGTCGCCGCGCTCAAAGCTCGCGATAAAAGCTATGCAATAGCTTAAAAGTCATGCCCGTGTCGAGAACAAGGTAGTTGATGGGCGATAACCTCGTTAAAGTCATGCCCGTGTCGAGAACAAGGTAGTTGATTGGCGATAACCTCGTTAAAGTCATGCCCGTGTCGAGAACAAGGTAGTTGATGGGCGATAACCTCGTTAAAGTCATGCCCGTGTCGAGAACAAGGTACTTGATGGGCGATAACCTCGTTAAAGTCATGCCCGTGTCGAAAACAAGGTACTTGATGGGCGATAACCTCGTTAAAGTCATGCCCGTGTCGAGAACAAGGTACTTGATGGGCGATAACCTCGTTAAAGTCATGCCCGTGTCGAGAACAAGGTACTTGATGGGCGATAACCTCGTTATAGTCTAGATGCTGTCTATCACCAGACTGTGGAATTGGGATTTATTTATCTTAATGGAATGGGTTTCCTCTGCATGACAACACCGCATGAAGTTAAGTGTTGTAAACTTTGTAGGGATTGTTCTCCTTCTCATCTGATTATTATTATTTAATTACAATTTATGTATATGACAATTTATCGCATCATTTGGTCCCGTGAGTATCGTAAGACGTAGTATAGGAAATGCTAAAAGACCTTATGGCTTTCAACGGATGCCATAAGCCTTCCCATACAAAATGCCTAGACTTGTGAGGTGTACAGAGACTAAGTTGCCAGGGCCTGTACGATTACTATTGCCGATCTGCTTCGTAGCGATCTTAGTCAATACTTATTAAAACAGCAGTGGACTGTAAGGTCTGACAAAGAAGAAAAAGGATCATATTGAATAAAATTATTTTTGTGGATTTCATTGCGTTTAATTAACTTATTTTTAATTCCCGGCGTTTTGGTTGCTTAACAGCATATCAACCATGGTTTAGAAGGGATGAGATGTTTTATTTCTCGATTTCATAGTTAGCCCGGCTCCCTTCAGTTCATGAATATTTATTTTTGGTCTCATTTACGCAGAATGAACTTACAGTATCTTGAAGTCTGACAATGGTATGCTTAGACTTGAATTTATTTTTTTAATTATAGGAACCCAAGCAGGTAGGAGCATATCCATCTTCTCTATAAGACTAACCCATTGTCCACATAATCACATTCCAAATACCATATAAGTCGCCTTTCAAGAGAATGTGGGTAAGATATAATGTTGGCTCGTTCTTTTTTATGATAATTCCCACATAAACATGGAGAAGTCGGTACAGAGAGAACTTTAAGGTATGTTGAAGAAAAAAATAATCATTAAAAAAAGAAAGAATATGTTATTAATTTGTAAACATATCTCTTGTAACTTTTACACCTCTAAATTATGCAGAGCCTACCACCAAAAACTCTCTTTATTACGAGTATGATATAGCTATTTGGCGAAAATGTAAATATTTCAATAGTTTTCAGTGAGGCTGTTACACTGTATAATGACGGATACATTTTTCGTACTTAAAAATTCGATAAATTTACCATATACTTCACTCACGTTTAATCTATGAACATCTGATTTAAAACACGTTTATCTAGTGGTTGGAAGTGTGATTACTGGTAGGTCGGTCCCGAAATCAAATCCCGTAAGTAGCCAAAGTCAGTTAGTTGGTTATTTCTATCAAGAAATTCTCAATAGCAGAAAAAGAACGTAAAACGTTGATCCTGCACCCAATTTCTTTCCGAACGTGTAAGGGGATGGAAAGTGCGCAGGTTGCTCACACCCTCCCACACTATAATCCTGTCCTGCTGTCTATGGTTAGTGTCTATTAAGACTGGCCACCGTAACCGAAATTCAGTCTGAAAGACGTTATATTATTATTATTAAAACGTAAACGTTTAAATTTTAAGTACCTTTTTTGAGAATTTATCTTTGAAAAGGAGAAATGAAGACGTGGACAAAAAGTTTGCATTACCGTTGAGGCAGGTAAAATAAAGCGAATATGCTCATATACAAAACGCAGTTACTTATAATTTAAAGGCATTTTGATCACGTTAATAGATATATGAGCCAAGATCCCTTTGCCTTCCCTGCATGGTAAAAACTTCAATAAAAGGGAAGGTAACAAATGTTTAACACAACTTTTCTAGAGTGTCGCTCGCGTGGAGGTCGGAAAATTATACATTCATATGAAAAGTAATGTCTCTGATTGGCAACAGCTTACTTGAATAGACACGTGATTTTCACTGTCGAAAATAAATTATTAGTGTATATGCAATAAAAAATTATCATACTATTTACATATTAAACGTAAAAGTCTCATGTGATTATTTCGCATTTGTCCTTCAATCGCAATAGAACGAATGTCTTAAATTATAATAAAAAAAAAATCGTAAATCCTGACAAAACTCAGGCAAAGTTAACGTTTAATTAATTTGAATTTACTTGTTTATCTCTATGCTTATGCCGATTCCTTTGGAAACTGCTTTTAAATAAATATTTACTTTCACATTGCCGTTTCTTCGTTACAGCATCTGAGATTGTCTAAGCCTCACTGTTTTCGACTCTCGAGTAAAGTAGTTAATCTCTTCTCTCATCTGCCGCTTCCGATCATATTATTTAAAAGTTGCCTATTTTGTTTTTTTACATGATCACAGTGACAAACAAGCTACAATGATAAAAGATGAGTGGCTTAACTGGTAGACTTTCATATATTCTTGATTAAATTGGTAAATTTTGAATAATAATGTGTTACAGGTAATATTTGTTTTGAATTTGACTTGTAATGTACATAAAATACAGTGAAATAACTTGCTTACATACTTTTCATTTAGAATGAAGTATGTTAACATTATTTATTCAAGAATGAAAAAAACATGCAATGAATATTGAAAGATAATTTGTTTAGCCAAACGTATATTACGTGTAATGGCACGAATTGGTCATTTCGACAGGGCAAGGACAAACACAACTTAATGCTGCTGTGTTTTATGGTGATATTTGTATGGCGAGCGTAATCGTAATCATCATGAGCATGATTCTGACACAACTCCCTCGCTTCGTTCACATCCATATCTCTATCCATATTCATATCCATATTCATGTATTATCCATGTATATCCATACATGTTCATTGTTTTAGGGTACCTTTAATTAGGCCCGTCTTTGATATAGTCTATATGTCAAAACAACTGAAGTATTTTTCTCTTAATCTTGGTATAATCACACAACTTGTCTCTAAATATATTTCCATTAACTCTATTTACTCTCGCGCTTTTTCAGCCACACCTAATTTACTACCACACATTAAGGTGTATAACCTAACGCACCATTGTGAAATGCCATACGTGATTTTTTGACACATTCTGGCTTGTACAATAGAGCGAAGAGCTCAATCCAACTCGTGTCCTACATTCACTTTTCGTTCTATGTCCTTGTCATGTTTTCCATCATTAGACAAACTCAACCACTTGATCACCTTACTCCTCTTCTATTCTTATTTCGTGTATCGTTTCACTTACTTCTCTTTAGAAAACAACCACTTTTCAACAAAATCATTCTTAATATATCTGCAAAGTTCTTATAATATCGTCAAAAAGTTGGTCTGAACCGAGTCTAAGAGCTCCTTCCATTTGATCGCATCCAGCGCAGAGCTGTTCGAATCGTCGCGTCGGCGACCGAGTTCTTTCCGAAAGGCTTGACTCACTGGCACTACGTAGAGATGTTGCATCTCTTTGCGTATTTCATCACATTTACTACGGGGAGTGCTCTGAGGAATTGTTCGGAATAATTCTAGCTGCACAATTTCACCATCGCACATCGCGACAAAAATCGCGATCTCATCCATCTGGATGACTGGCGGTCCACTACTATAAATTATAATAAATAAACATTTATTTTTCCCACTTTTTACATAGTTACAATAGTTTCATAAATAGTTAAAGAGTTTTTGAGTAGCTGTGGGAGACAGGAGCCCAAACTAGGTTACCCTGTGCTATGAGTCTCCCCTCTTGGCTTTATTACATACTTTTCACCACTGTGCGGTTTAAAAGAAATTTTCTTCCTACCTACTCCTTTTTAAAAGGCCGGCAACGCATCTGAAATTCCCCTGATTTTGCAGTTGTTCATGCGCGGCGGTAATCACTTAACGTCAGGTGAACCATATGCCCGTTTGCTCCCTGTCCTATACAAAAACAAAACATGGAATAAAAATAATTTTACGGTATTTATCACGACTAATTAGAACTTTACTAATTCGGCTACTATTACTAATTATTACGTTTCGGGCACTTTACAGCACTCTTGGTCACGTGACTGAGGTGTTTGACGACCTGATGTCACAGTTAATGAAGGTTAACTTCAACTTTTATCCCAACAAAAATCTTTCAACAGTTTCTCCCTCTTTTTCATGAAATATTAACTGAGAGAGACAGATGTACAGATAATTTTAGATTTCGTTAAGTTAATTAAAATCAACGATTATAAGAAAGTCCGTTAATTATAATCACAGTAAATTTGACGGTAAGTTGATGCTGTTGCCCATAGAGATCTTCATCTATCCTCAATTTAGAATTAAAATGCAGATACGTTTTTATTCCTGAGGACTAAGATGGAGTGCTTAACTGCCAAAAAGGCAAATCGGAGTGCCTCGTTAATAATGTGCTCCGGGTCGAATTTCGGTCGCGACGGTCTGCCTCAACGCAGACAAGCCATCTGAGCTGAACAGGATTATAGTGCCCAAGTGTATGCGAAAGCATAAAGGACGGTAAACCGATACGACCAATGGCTTTACGTGCTTTCCGAGACACGGGGTGATACATAGTTCACACAACTTCCTGATTCCGAGCTACTACTGAGAACTTCTTGACAGATAAACTTAATAATTTATTGGCCTGACCCGGGATTCGAACCCGAGACCTCGTGATTAGCAGTCACGTTAACGACCACTAGACTTACTATCCAGTCAAAGTGCATCTTTCACAACATAATATAAAAAAAAAAGAAATAAAATTCTCCTTACACGTCATACGAAATAAAGTATACGCTTCTAGTACACTAGGTTAATTCATTTATCTCTAATTTCAAATGCATAAATTAATATTGTAATGTATAACGTACTATTTAAAGCTGCATTATTTCTCGTAAGGTCAGATACAAACTGACATGCTCCACAATAGGGATATTTCTTTTATATTTTTTATTTACAATCTGTTATGACAGTCGTGAAGTTGTTATTGCTTGTGACTATACAAGTTACTAGCGAGTGATGTTTGGAAAAAAATCTATTAGACAAGTAGTAAAGTGGACTTACACGATAACTAATAGTTAGCTACGAGGGTAAAAAATAAAATAAAATGTGAAGAAATGAGGGTAGAACTGTAATCTCCTACCCGTTC